CGTGGAGGAATGAGTCCAGGGCCCCTTTCTGAAGCTTGGGGGTTTTCGGGAGGCGCGAGGAGGTCTGCCGTCTTCCCGCCATGGTGAGTGGGATCGGTTAGGTGGATGAGTCGGATAGGATGCAGAGGGTCAGGACGGAGCTTGTCTCAAGTACGATTCTCCACCATAGCGTCCAGGCAATGCCCCCCTTATTCCTAATTTTTATGGAATCCTTAATGACTGGAAGGGTACCAAGTGACTGGCGTACTCAAGATGCCAACCTACTCAAGATGCCAACCTGGGAACTACAGGCCAGTCAGTCTAACATCAATAATATGCAAACTGTTTGAGGGAATGATAAAGGACTATTTAGTGGATTCTGTTTGTGACAATGGTATAATAAGTGATAATCAGCATGGATTTATCTTCATAACCGTTCTTGTCAGACCAACCTACTAACATTCTACGAAGAGGTGAATATAGATCTGGATAGAGGAAAACCCATGGATGTAGGGTACCTGGATTTTGCAAAAGCATTTGACACAGTACCACATAAACACCTAATGCATAAGCTGAAATCTTTGGGCATAGATGAAATGGTGTGTTCTCTAGAACTGGCTACACGAATGTGTCCAGGCCCGGCGCTACCGCAAGGCAAGGCAAGCGGCCGCCTGAGGGCGCTGCAGGGTGAGGGGGGAAAAAACAGGGCATTTTGACAGGTGCGTATGTATATGATTTGTACATTCAGTCTTGAGATTCATGCAGAACAGCAGCCCGGTGACCTGACTTTCGTGCAAAATTGCAACTTTGCCTGTCTAGGCAAGAATCCTAGCACCGGCCCTGAATGTGTCCAGAGAGTATTGATAAATGCCACTTTCTCTCATTGGTCTACAGTGGTGAGTGGTGTGCCTTATGGTTCTGTGCTAGGCCACATTCTGTTTAACCTGTGGGCAGCTATGAGGTTTAATGTTGAAAAATGTAAAGTAATGCATTTTGGGGTTAAAAACAGGCAAGCGGAATACACATTAATGGGTACTCCACTAGGTAAGTCAGAAATGGAAAAAGATTTTGGGTTCATAGTTGACCGCAGTTTAAATAACAGCACGCAATGCCAGGCTGTGGTAAACAAAGCTAGCAGAGTACTGTCATGCATTAAAAAGGGAATTTACTGTAGAGACAAAGCGATAATTTTGCCACTTTATAGATCGCTGGTTCGACCTCATCTTGAATATGCGGTCCAGTTTTGGTCACCAATCCTCAGAAGGGATGTACTGGAGCTGGGGAGAGTCCAGAGAAGGGCAACTACACTAATTATGGGGCTGGAGGACCAAAGCTATGAGACAAGGTTGCTAAATTTAAACTTGTTCACGCTAGAAGCGAGGCGATTAAGAGGAGACATGATTTTAATGTACAAAATGTTTGTTGGTGATGGCAAAATCAGCAATAAACTTTTTTTTACTGTAAACTCCCTAACAAAGACTAGAGGCCACCAAAATTTGTGGAGAAAAGATTTAACCACAAAGGGCGTAGGGGCTTCTTTTCAGTCAGAGTGGTTAACCCCTTTTTTAAATTTTTTGTTTACATGTTATAATCCATATATTAGGCCTGAAAATTACTTAAAACCCCCAAACATTACATGCAGACGCGCATGCCCCCAGGGGCGGGACTTTAAAAAAAATTATTTTTACATTTATTTTATTTAACCACTTGAAGTTTGCGGTGTTAAACCCCCTTCCTGGCCAGGCCATTTGCAGTATTCAGCGCTGCAGTACTTTGACTGACATTTATTGCGTCATGCAACGCTGTACTGAAATTAATTTTATACCATTTTTTGGGGACCGATAGATCTTTCTTTTGATGGTATTTAATCACCACTGGGGTTTTTATTTTTTCCTATATTAAGGAAAAATACAAAAAACTGTTTCCCCTATATTAAATGATAAAACATTTATTATTACCCAATTTTTTGGTAAAATATAAAAGACGGGGTCACGTCATGTAAAAAGACACCAAACACGGCAAGCCTTAAAATTGCACGCGTGCGCAAAACCTCAAAAAACAACAATACCCAAAATTGGCCATAGGCGACATTTTAAAAGCTTTTCCTGCTCATCAGTTTAGTGTTATCAGTGATTGATGGCCCTAAAATGATTGCTCTCACTCCGATGTTCTCGAAGATATGTAACATGTGTAGCGCAATTGTCGTTTTCGCGCTGGCGCATCTGACGCGTATTTACGTTTACATGTGCATAAACGTGGGGGTGGGGGACTATATGTGACTTATCTATTTTTTTAAAACTTTTTTTTACACTTAATGTTATTGCTATCACATAGGGGGATAACAATCCCCCTATATAATAGCAAAGGCACACTGACAGGTCCTCTTTATTAGGGGTCTAAGACCCGTAATGTCACCCCCCCAAAGAAACTGATGAAGCAGAGATCTGCTTCATCAGCTTCTTCTCTCTGGCAATAGCAGCCAGAGGACTGACAGGTGAATGCGGGAAGTGATGTGATGCACATCACGTCCGCATTCACAGTACGGAGGCGTTTTTTCTGCCCAGGGGCGCGCACGAGCAGAAAAAAAAAGCTGTCTAATTACGGCAACCCGCCCATGTGAGCTTGCTGTCCGCCCGTTTTTTCATGCTATTAAAAAGGGTGGCTTACAAGCCCCCCATGTGATAGCATATTGGCAGCGGCAGGTCCTCTTTAAGACCCCTTGTATCACCTTTACACTTTAAATAAGCTATTGAAGTGCAGATCGCATTTCAATAGCTTATTTCTAGGCTTCAGGAGTCCAGCACTGACAGCTATGGGACCAGAAGTGATGTGATCTGCATCGCTCCTGGTCCCATATGGGGAGGAAATCGGTGAACGGAGGTTCGTCAATCTCGTCCCCAGCTTCCCCCAACACCAGAGAAGCTGGTCCCGGGCCCGTAGGAGGGGCAGCAGAGCCTGGGAAACAAGGTGGGGTGTCAGGCGTGGGGGGGGGGGCTGTTTACCAGCCCGTAGAAGCGATCTGGCGGAAGCTGAGCTGCCAGAATCACTTCTACTGTAAAGCAGACAGTCGGCTTTACAAGTGTAAACAGAGTCCCGGCTGAAGTCTATTTAAACGGGCCTGCTGCCAGTGACATACACTGTATATCACTGGTCATGAAGGGGTTACATTTTGGAACTCTCTGCCACAAGCAGTGGTATCAGCAGTGTCAAACAGTGGTACTGAATCATTAAAAAAATCAATTAGATACCTTCCTCAGAGACCGTAACATACAGGGGTACAGGTACTCTTAAAAACTAAGACCACAAAGGGACTCATATACACACACTTACACATAGGTTGAATAAAGACACAGGTCCATTGAGTTCAACCTTTATGTAACTATTTAACTTTCTTTTCTTTTCCCTTTTTTCGCCTCTCTTTCTACTTGCTCCTCGTTGTTTTCTATCCCTATCCCTCCTTTTCTGTTTTCTTTCTCCCTCTCATGTGATAAAAATATAATTCTTAAAAGATTATAAAAATTGCTCTATGTGTTCACTTTAAGACTGCAAATTTTTATGTTAAATATTTTCAATCATATTAAAAGTCCAGAACATTTGCCTCTTGTCAATTTTACAGGTTATACAAGATTACAGAAATATAGAGACCTTTAATTTTAGGTACTTAAATATACAGATAGATAGACATTAAATACAATATGAGGAGTAGTGAGTGCATAACATTCCTCCATTGGAAACCTTTCAAGATATATTGCAGCCATTTTTTTCCCAACAAAGGTTACTCATATGCATTCGGTGAATTTTGGTCGATGTGCAATTGTAAAGTAAGCTCCCCATTATCCGGCATTCAAACATCCGGCACTCTCAAGCACCAAAAATCCCCCCAATTCAGAACATAATATGTCCTGTATTTTTTTTCATGCTTACTTGATGGACATGTGCACACTAATAAATGTTGTTAGCAACTAAATGTATTTAGTTGTTAACTAAATTCTCTGTTTACATCTTGCTGCCGGCCGGTGGCTTGATTCTGCAATCGGCAGCTGAATGTAAACAACGGGGAGCAATATCCAGCCTGTTATTGACTATTTCAAATTGCAATAGCCAATAGCAGGCTGGCTGTTACACCCGCCCACTGAGCAGTGGAGCAGACCTGCGGTAAAATCAAACCAAAATGAATATGGATAATCATATATCCTGAAGAAATAACATAAAACAAAGCACTGTATTTCATACTAAAACAAAACCACAGGGATGTTTTAAAGTTCTGAGGTTGCTGTAGATGGTTATAGGTGTTCTGTTCCTTATATAAATGTATTCATGGTTTGAATTTGAAAGTAAAGCATGGTTGGATTGCATCCCATCCTGTTATCTGAAGTCCACAGATTAATCAATGCTTACATTCCAAGATAGATAATTGAAGCATTTTTGTATGCAAACGAACTGTATCTTCATAAAATGTTTTCTCCAGCAGACATGATTACAACAGTCTTAGGTATATTTATGTAGTACAGTAAAATATAGTATATATATATATATATTCTTTGCAAAAAGTTAAATGGTAAAATTAAAGATCTGTGAAGCCAGAACTAGGTCTTTAGAGGCTGTCCTTTGCAAGCTCACTGTCCATCTTCTTCTTTTGCCTTTCCATTACAGCTTCTAGCTCAGAAATCTTCTTATCGTCCTTATTAACAAAATATATAAAAAAATATATATTAATAATTTGCACTGCTCTTAAATTGAAACTGAACAGGTCTTAAACTTGTTAAAGTACTATATGTTGTGCCCAAAACTACATGTGTTAGTCTAAAAAAGTATTCCTGTTTACCTGTGGAGTTCATTGTACAAGGTTCCTTAACTTCTGCCCAGGTTAAGTCCCACCTCTCCTTACACCTTGCCCTGCACCCTTGCCATTCAACCGTGACATAGCCCTGCTCTATAGAATTCTGTCATTACACAGTTGAATAATAGAGGTGGAGATCTTGATTGGGTCTCCATGTTGAGTCATGGTAAAATTAAAGATCTGTGAAGCCAGAACTAGGTCTTTAGAGGCTGTCCTTTGCAAGCTCACTGTCCATCTTCTTCTTTTGCCTTTCCATTACAGCTTCTAGCTCAGAAATCTTCTTATCGTCCTTATTAACAAAATATATAAAAAAATATATATTAATAATTTGCACTGCTCTTAAATTGAAACTGAACAGGTCTTAAACTTGTTAAAGTACTATATGTTGTGCCCAAAACTACATGTGTTAGTCTAAAAAAGTATTCCTGTTTACCTGTGGAGTTCATTGTACAAGGTTCCTTAACTTCTGCCCAGGTTAAGTCCCACCTCTCCTTACACCTTGCCCTGCACCCTTGCCATTCAACCGTGACATAGCCCTGCTCTATAGAATTCTGTCATTACACAGTTGAATAATAGAGGTGGAGATCTTGATTGGGTCTCCATGTTGAGTCACACCATAAGGTGCTTGCATTTCAGCACTGTTGTCGCTTTAGATATGTTTAAAATGACATTAAAGGCAAAAATGTATTTGCCTCAACACAACGTTAATGAAAGCACTTACCTTAAATGATGTCTCTTAATCCGATCATGTTCTTCTTTCCTGTAGTTTTCAGCCTTCTCTCCAGCGCTGTGGCGAGTCTCCGATCCAGCACTGACTCCTCTGTGATTGCTGGCGCTTCCTCTCCCACGGTGTCTGCATGGGGGTGCACGCGTCCATTGATTTACCTTGTGTCTCTCCTCGCGTCCCGGCCGAAAATGTGAACTGCGCATGCGCCTGCCCCAAGATGGTTTGCGGCCGCCCGAGCGGTTTCACAATTTCGGACGGGAGCATGCAGGGCAGATACAGGTACGTTTAAACCGCTGTTAAAGCAGGTTTTTTAAAAGAAAACTTTTTGCATAGATCTACTGCTTGCTAGCAGTAGATCTATGCAAAAAAAGCTGAGGGTTTAGAAACCCTTTAAGGTCAGTGTTGGTTTATGTTGATGCGGAAGGTCCCAAGAGTATTTTAGTGGTTGATAAAATCTACAGCATCCAGTCAAAATTTTCACTTTATTGCTCTTAAACTGGCCATACACCTATAGATTATCTGCAGATTTTTTACAGTCAGATGGAAAAAGTGCAACAGATTCCTCCTTCTACACTAAAATGTGTGGATGGAGGAATCACACATTGGGCCAAGCTTCAGTATCTTTCTAGTTGGCCCCACTGGCTCTCAAAATACCTGAACAATGTGATTGGATGCAGGCATTGTTAAGCTATTTTGAGAGCCAGCGGGGCCGACTAGCAAGATACTGAAGCTTGGCCCAGTGGGAGCTTCCTCCATCCACACAGTTTAGTGTAGATGGAGGAATCTGTTACACTTTTTCCATCTGACCATAGAAGATCTGCAGATAATCTATACGTGTATGGCCAACTTAATAAAGAAAATTTCTAGGGAATTAGCTGCAGTCAACAAATATTGTTACGACGGATTAATGAGTCTTTTACCTACATGATATGACCAGTCACAGAACATTTCCATTTCAAAAAAATTTCTCTAGGCTAAATACTGTGGTTTCCTAATGTTATTTTTATGGAGGCAATAAAAATCTGCACCTGAATGGAAAGATCTCTCTAGAAAATGATAGTCCACTTTCCTCCCTTAGCACATCTAAGGAAAGAAATAAAAAAATGTGAGTAAACCAGTTGTTATAATAATCTGCCTCTGAGGCAGTGGTGGAACTTTCGCCACAGCAACCCAGGTGGCCGCTATGGGGCACAGGGGTGCCCGGCCAGGACGAGGAACAAAGGGGACCCCCTGATGCCGTATGGGCCGCCTGGGTTGCTATGGCATCACAGGCTGCTTGCTGTCACTGGCAGCTTTGAGGAGGAACGCACCACTCTCAAAATCACTGACAACCTGTCAGTGATCTGTGCAGCGGCGCGTTCCTCCTCACAGCCGCTGCTGAGACAGTGACAGGTAGGAGCTGCGGTGGAGGAGGCCGGGGCCCAGTGGCGGCAGCGGAGGAGGGGCCCGGCGGTGGTGGAGAAGGAGGAATAGGTCGGCAGTGGAAAAGGGGGAGGCAGGGCCCGCTGGCGACCGAGGAGGAAGTGGAGCAAGGCGGGGAGGGAGGCTGACGGTGGTTCGGGGAGGCTGACAGCAGATCGGGGCTGACAGATAAGAAGTGTGCAGGGGTGTGACCAGCCCACCAGAGAGTCTATGGTGGGCCCTGCAGGGTCACTCTCAGGTGCAGGGCCGCCGTCAGGGGGGTACGGCCGATATTGATGTAAGGGGCCCGCACAGCCTTAGTGGCCCGGGACCCTTACATGGGCATCGGCTGTACAAGTGACAGGCCGGGAGGCCCCCGCAGCACCGGAGGAGGCCGGGGCCCGCCTCCGGTGTCCCCAGGGGGTCTCCACTGTACATTATCATTTTAAAGATGGCCGCCGCGAGTAGCGGCGACCATCTTTAAACCTGGCAAGCGCCCTCATCTCGTTTAATATATTGCCAAACAGGCATGAAATGAAAATCATTCCCTGGTGGTCAAGTGGGGAATTAGTATGATCTGCATCTCTTGCTGATGCAGATCATACTGATCGCTCACTCGTGGTTGGCAGGGATCGATAGTATGGTCTGCATCAGCCAGAGTGCAGATCACACTGATCCTCCACTGAAGCCTTAGCCCAGGGATGCAGCCCCCCTTCCTGCAAAACAGGTAAGTTGTTTTAAAAATAACTTTTATTGTTAGTGTGTGTGTGATGTGTTCTAATGAGTGTGTGATTTGTAAAAAAAATTTAATGAAGCTATGTGTGTTTTTTGTGTGTTTAATTACGCGTTTGTGTGTTTTTTTATAACCACTTCCCGCGGGTTCACGTAACTGTACGTCATCCGCTGGAAGTGGTTATACCAAGAACATGGCTGCTCCTGCAGCCATGTTCTTGGTACCGCGTTAAACAGCTGGCAATTGCTGTTTACATTACAAGCGATCCAGCGTCTGTACAGGCGCTGGATCGCATGTACGGTGCGGAGTTGTGTCCCCCTCCTCCAAGGCCGCCGGTGCCGCCGTCAGCTTCCAGGGCTCATCTGTCCCTCGTGTGAGCCCAGGCTGGGCGTTGAGGGTTTCCCCTGACAGATCGGAGGAGTGATCAGTGGCTTCTAGCTGCGTATCTCTCCTCCGATCACTGGACCCTGAAGTGCATCTTAGGGCCCGTTAACACCACTTGCAGTGCGTTCCGGCCCGATTATGGCTGGAAACGCACTGCGTCGCATTGCGGCCTGGCTCACTTTTTTCCGGGCTATAGGGGGCGTGGCGGGCCATTGAAGTGAATGGCGCCGTAGCCACGCCCACATAGGATCGCAGGGCACATTGTGCCTACAGTGGGTTCCGGTGCGGTCAAAATGCTGCAAGCACCTTTTTTTACTGCACTGGACCGCAGGCACAATGTGCCCTGCGATCGCATTGTGGCCGGAGGGCGTGGCTATGGCACCATTCCTTTCAATAGCCCCCTCCTACCCGGCAAAAAATTGAGCCGGCCGCAATGCGATGCAGTGCGTTCCGGCCATAATTGGGCCAGAAAGCACTGCAAGTGGTGTGAACGAGCTCTTAGAGCCAGAGGATAAAGCAGATGAAGCAGATCTCTGCTTCATCAGCTTCTTTGGGGTCCCCAGGTGACATTAGGGGTACGAAAGACCCCTGATGTCTCCATAAAGAGGACCTGTCACATTATATTTGCTATTACTAGCAATTAGCGAGTGTAAAAAAAAATTTTAAAAATTAAAGTAACATAAAAAAATGCAAAAAATTGTTTTTAAGGCCCCCCGCTCCCCGTGTGCACACACATACAACACAAACACGCGTCGGATGCGGCTACTTGCAAAAACAAAAATTGCATCACACGTTATGTATCGTCACGAACGTCCAGCACATTACTAAGCCCTGCGTCTAGCACATTACGAAGCCCTGCGTCCGGCGCATTACGAAGCCCTGCGTCCGGCGCATTACGAAGCCCTGCGTCCGGCGCATTACGAAGCCCTGTGTCCGGCGCATTACGAAGCCCTGTGTCCGGCGCATTACGAAGCCCAGAGTCCGGCGCGTTACTAAGCCCAGAGTCCGGCGCGTTACTAAGCCCAGAGTCCGGCGCGTTACTAAGCCCAGAGTCCGGCGCGTTACTAAGCCCAGAGTCCGGC